CTTCGAAAAGGTAATAAACATATTGCCAACTTCGAATGGGTGGGTTCGAGATGATTTACACACACAATTCCATTTAGAGCAAGTAAGAAGACCGCATCTTCCACCGCAGCACAATCTTTGTGTGGAATCACGCTGTGTGCAGAGGGCTTTGTTCTAGAAACTCATTTGCATAAAAGCGGAATACATAGTAGGGAGGGATAAGGTGATTTTGGCATTAAACTGCAGAACAATTATTTTAATTTCGACAAGAATGACTGCAATTCTTCAAGCTCAAGTTGAGATTTATTACCTGAAATTTGAAGTTTGTGCTGCGGAATTCATGTTTGCACCTTGTTGCCTTCCATGATGTAATAAATTATTAAACTTAATTAAGTAAAAGATACGAAAATTGTTTATTTTTTGTATTTTGTTGTGTTTTTTTTTAAATAAATTTTTACTTTCAGTCAATGGCACGTTTAGCTATTAATGGCCGTGCGGTTTTCGGTCCAAACACATATAAACGATAATAATTATTTCATTTAATTTTTTAATAATAAATCATCTGAAAAAGTAAACCGAAATAGTTTATCTATTTTATTTTTATTGCATTTTTTAGTTTTTATGCAATTAACGCGTACATCTGAACGCATCCATTTTTGTTTGAAAGAAACACGCAAGTTTGAAGAAAGTGAAAATATTTTTGCTCTCGAGACGTTAAACGTTTAAGTGAAAAGTTCAATACAAATAAAAATAATACAAATTATATGCGATTTTGTATACATTGTCAGTCTTATGAAATCTGGCTTAAAATTATACTGAAATCGAAAACTCCTTTTACTTTTAAAGGAAAAGTTTGCTACAGCATGAAAAGGGAAATTTATGTGTCTACGGATGTCTGCAATCTAGTTATGAGTTGATATGATGTTTATGATGTTATGATGTTTAATAAAATATACTAAAAATCTTCAATATTTACCACCATATTCAAATTGAACAATAAATAATATAAATCGAGTTTACATAAAGCAAAGACAGCCCAAATACAGTACATTGAGTCTAGAAATACACTATACCTACAACAATCTTTGAAAATCTTTGTTTAGTGAGCTTATAATAAAGCTTGTAGCACTTTTAAAATAGACAAATGTGCCTATTACAAAACCTGCATTGAGATTTAGACTTAACTGTTATCGATAAATATCAATGGGGCTATGCGTGGCTTATGGTCATCAAGTTATACTTGAGTAAAGCTAAACTTGATATTTTGCAATACTTAAAATAGGTGTTGGAATCAGCCAAAAATTTAATTAAACAAAAATAATAAAATTTTGTTGTTGCTATTCAATACTGTTCGAAACCTCTTCAATAAATTTAAACCGATATAAAAGTTATCAATTATGTACGAGTAATATATCACAATTAAAGGTTGAAGTGCACTTATTATAATATAAATTTATAATGTATATAACTAAGTAAAAACTAAAACTTTTTCTTTTCAAAACCAATATTCCAGTCAAGGCGTAGAGAGGGGTTTTGAAAATATCTCGAGTTAAGAAAGAGTTTTACTCAAGTGCAATGGCTCAAATAGCTTCAACATAATAATGATATATACTAACATTCATACATGAGCACGTATGCATACATAGATTATTGGAACAAGAGAGAATAATAAAAATAGCAATAGCAGAAAAAAAGTAGTAGCTGGGTTTTATTTTGGGTTATAGGAAAAAAAATGGTAACAGTTGTCTATAAATATTAAATTCAATAATTGCAAAAAAGACCAAATCAAAAAAAAAAGAAAAAATAAGAATCATAGATATTCAGTGAAATGAAAAACACTTTCTGTTTTTCTGAAAACGTGTTTATTCATAAATTAGTTTAAAAAAAATTCTTTACTTGAAGTTATGGTACTTCTTCTTTTGTATTAAATTGACTGACTCCATTTATCATTTTAAAGTTGTTTCTGACAGTTGGTGTGTCGGCAGTTGTTTCCTTTTTCTCCTTTGTTTTTATTTTTTTTAAACTACAATCCAGTATGAACCTTGGAGTCCCTCCCAGTCTGCTTTTACTTCGTTCGCTTCGCTGATTGCACATTCCAGTTAACGACACTGAGAATTCTTGTATCTTTGTTAAAATTGTCTTCCTGTTTTTGGTCAACCTCTGAGTCGTATTCTGTCATAGATTAAGGATTGAAAATACCTACTCAGCACCTACTCCTACATGGTGGGTAACCTATTGAAATTTTACTGTTTTACTATATGTATATCCATTTTTCTGTAAATTATTAATTTTTGTTTTCCATTTGTAAGCTTTTCATTTAGGCAAACTATTCACATATTTCTTCTTCATCCTCTTTTGTAATCATCAGGGCTGTCGATTAATAAGTAACTACGTGTACTACTTTTTTCTGAGTTATTTTTCTTTCTTTAAGTAACGTACATTTAAGAAAACCCAGTTTTTGTAATAACATATATTACTAACATACAGCTGGCGAACTATTCAAAAATTTAAAGTCTTTCTTTATTTTTTTTTATCATCATCCAAGTTCTAAGTGTCCGATTTGTAAATAACTACAGAATTTATTATTTTTTTGAAATTTGTAGTTTTTTTTTGTGGAGTAGCCTAGATTATAAAAGTCCTAGGTTTTTATAGTAATATATGTTAGCTGCCTGTAGTCTGTTGTTTATTAATTTCGTTAAAATTCACGAGATTACAGCTGACGGCAGCACTGTTGCATTTGGAGTAACTGCGTGGGAAATTCAAAAAGTCACTGACTTATCAAGCCTCCCTCGTATACTGATTCAATACTTTCATATGAGTTCAGGAGAAAAGAACGTTCTCAAGCTTCAATATTAGTCACCTAGTTTTATAATTAGGAATTCAATCAAAATTGTTGATAAACTGATATGAATTTTGACACTTTATTCATACTGGTATTAAAATTAGGATTCGGTTTGCTGTTTTTTTTTATACTAACTCTAATTTCAAGCCAATTATATTTATTTGGACATTTAAAGGTTTTGCGTGCTCCAGTTTATATCATTCTCTAATTGCATAGCGGAACTACGTTGCCTTCTTTCATATCGAAAACTACTTCAAACTATTTTTCAGAACCTTCATTCAATTGGAATGGATGCCAAGTAAATGAAGTTTACCGATTTTTAATTACGGTACAATATATGTTCCTAAATGGTATATGTACAATTCATGATTGTAGAGTCTTCGGAATAGTCAATCCGGAAAGTTATAAAACTGTTTACCGAAATGTGGATTCATAAGTGAGCACTAGTGATACCAAAGTTTTCAACATGTTAAACGTGAATTATAAAGCTCAGTACTTGAATTTGAGACACTTTCTCAAACTATGGAAAGCTTTATTGAAGATAAGTAGTGGCTAATAAATTTATTTTAAAATTCAGATATTAATGAACCTAATGAACTAAGATTAAAAAACGCACTACCTTTCATTATGCTAATGATGTTGCGATTTAAATATAGTCTTTTTGCAAATTATGTCACAGATGAAGATTCTTCTAGTTAGGCTAAACGTCAAAGCGATCTGGACGAATTTTTGTATAGTGGGTTCTCTTATGAAAATTATTAAAAATAATTCCACTGAAGCTTGTTTTCGATTTATTAATTTGCACCCATATATGGTACATTTTATTTTCTAGGTTTTGAAGTTTGTGTAGATTTAATCAAATCACAATTGAAGTAAAGAAATATAAACCATTGTAGTTATTTAAAAACCTGAACCAATGTATATTTTATAAGTTGAAATTTTTTTGTTTCATTTACATATATTTTAAGAGAAAAAGTGGTACTTTAATATAGTAATGCAGTTATTCTTCCAATATAATTAATATAAGAATAACATTTATTTCCTTTCGTTTTGATTCAAGGTATTTTGCAGTTAAATGATTGTTTACATTTAAGACAAATAAATATTACTTTATTTTTAAAACAATAATTAACTTAATTTACAATGCATTGATATACATTATATAAACGTTCAGGGCTGTAATGCTTGCACATATTACTTCGAGGACACTGTATGCAAATACATAACATAAAGTTTCATATGAACTGAAGAAATAAATAATACAATATGGGATTGCATGATACCCTACTAATGAAACCTAATTGCATATACATATAATGTCACACGAGTTTACATGATACTCTACTACGGAAATATATATATATTTAATGATATTGTATATTAAAGTTCTATTATTTTTGTTTTTTAATGCACTTTTACAAAATTTAAAATTTCCTTAAATTTAAATTATATTAATTATAATAATTCATTTATTTTTAACGTCCGTTTTAACGAAAGAAACCAAATTCTAAATACAAACTATTGTTTTCAATGGAGAGGTGTTTTAAACAGTATTGCCAAATATCCATCATCAGTGGTCTTGGAATTATTTTTTATATTTAATTATTTGAAAATAATTCTTATTTTTTTGGTGCAAGCACCAAGGGTTGAACTTATGCCCTGCCAAATTTGAAGTTCAGAGTCAGTGTTCATTAGTCAATTGACTTAAGCCGTTCTTGACGTATATGTTCGAACTTGGAGTTTTATTAATTTTTTGTGAAAGTTCATCAACAAATTTACTTGCTGTGTTAGATTACAACGGAATCATAAAACAACTGTAAAATAATTGAATCAAGCATTATTCAATCAGGCACTATTTATTGCATGATATTATAATAACGGAAATTTATTTAATAAATTTATTTAATATTTATTTAATATAATATATTTAATTTAAATATGTAAGATTCTAATTTATTTTTTTATTTATTTTTTTTATTTGCAGTATTTAAATTTTAATGTGTTAAGCAATTAACCTTAAAAAGTGAAATTTCATCTTCTTTTGTGAATATTTTTTTCTCCTCCATCAACAAATGTACCTTTAAAAAATTTCAAAAAAGAAAAGCGCAAATGGAAAGCAGAAAAATGGAAAAAAGAAATAAAAGGAACTCAAAAACCGAAAGAATTTCCACAAAAAAACAAAACAACAAAATAACAAAGAGTAACAGTGCGGAAGCAATAAACACAAACGAAATGACTGTGAACACATCAAACATAAAAACCAGGACACAAAAGGCAGTAAAACATATAGTCCAGGATACTCGATGGCAACATAGCACCATATGGTGCATAAATAGATTTAGTACAATAATACTATGGCTACTATTACTAACATTAATGCATACCGCATATGCTGCCAATGCCCAAGAGCTTAGTAAACTTACAACGAAGCGTACATCAACAACGGAAGCGGAAGACGCAGTTACGCTTGAATCCTCGTCAGTGACAAGATACAGTCAACCATTGATAACAAATGACAACGATGATAGTTTTCGACCGATTATTCCCAAGGATATTGATCCTGAATATATTTCACGTAATGTTTTCACAAAAACAGGACAATATCGTGTATTCGAACCAGTCGAGAGCGACTTGCGAGCGACAACAACAATAACGAAAAAAGGCCAGAATAAAAGAGTGTTGACACAAAATTTGAATACCCTACCTTATAGAGAAGCAACAGTTTTAACAACAACAATACCAAACTCAAAAGCGTTGCCAACAAGAAAAACAAGTCCACGGACAAACAAATTAAAGCAAGCGTCAATATTAGCGGAACAGAAAGGGAAGTCCTTAAGTGGCGTTACAACCCAAAGGAATGGCGAAAATGAAATTGGTTTCAATGAAATACGAAGGAAAGCACAAGTGCCAACAATGCACACAGCCGACGGTGCCAATGAAACATTCAACTCCGAACATAAAGGACTTGAAGAATTACTCACGGAATATGTGCAAAATTTTTTCAACAATGGACAATACGAGCCTTCGCCAGGACTTATTTATGAGTTACAGAAAAATCACACAATCAGCGGTGACGATGGTGACCTCAAATCTGGCCATAAACGTTATGTGCGGCATGCAAATGTCAGTAATGATGCCAACGTAACCGTAAATATTCCCCGTGTGCTGCAATCCGGACGTCTTCTCTTCTTCGCAGGTTTGAAAGCAATTTTATGTATTTTGTGTACTTTATGAGATTTTTTTTTAAATTTTAATTAAAAGTTTTCACGTTCGTTTGTTAAAAGTGATTTTTTACGGTTTTCGTTTTATTTATTTTATTTTATTTTATTTTGTATTTTAATATTTTTCATCTTTTGCAGGTTTGAAAAAGATTATGTGGCCAATTTACATGGGAATACAAGTGCTGAAATCTTTGCTCTTTGCCATGTTTCTGCCGACAATAATTGGCTCGATTGGAAAGCTTATAGGAAAGGGTAAGCAAATGATATGGAAATTAAAGATGAGAAGTAATTAAAAGTAAGAAGAAGAAATTCAATGAAATGTATATATCCTCAAGGAATGTGAAGTTGTTTCGGGTTTATGGTCCGCCTTATGTTGACAATAATAAAATTTTGTGGTTTCAATTTAAAGAATTTAATATTTTAATAAGTATAAAAATGAAAAATTTAAAAATATAATATTGAGAAGGAAAGTTTAAATTCATTTTTTGTTTATAAATTAAGCAGATTTATATTTAAATTCAATACTGATCAATACTGATCTATTTTAACAAATATTTAAATAATAATGCTATCAGTACTTTAAGTACTTTAAATTGCATACATAAAATAAAAAATAAAATAAAAAAGGATTATCGGTAGAGTTCCACGTAAAAAGTCTATATAACTTAAGTATTTAATATATAGTCAACTAGTTTTATCTTTACACCGACTTAAAGAAATTCAGTATTTTAAAAAAATGTATATATACATATATACAAAAATGTATACTCTTATTTCATTGTTTCGAAATGAAACACTAATTGTATATGAATGGAGAGACATATCTATCCATATAGATAGAAACATATATTCCTTCTTAATGAGTACACTTTTACGATGTTTTCCTCGAGAAGAAGACACACATTAGAAGCATGAACATATATTTTATAAGGGCTCAGAACATATTTTTTTCGGTATTAGAAACTTATTTATAGAGTTTCACATATTTGAATTCGAAAAAAGTTAATTTAATACCAATTACTTTAAGAGAAAGAAAGTGGAGCATAATATATAAAAACTGTTTTATTTTTCTCTCAATGTTTAAGTTCTAAGAAAAATAAATCTAAAATTGATTTCTAAAATCAATTTAATAAAATCACAAGTATAAATACTCATACTCATCAAGTGAAATTTATAGCATAATTCTTCGTAAGTGGATTCCCCTAACCGAATCCTATTCACATTCATGTTGCCATACTTCCATTCTGGTACCAGGAACTTTAAGTCAAAATTTAATATCAAAAATTGTGCGAACTTAACGATATGTCATTCTTTTTCTATTCCATAATAAGCTGGTGATTGATTGATACTTCACATGATTTGTTAACTAGCTTAAATCTGTTCATTCAGTAAGTGAAAGGTTGAGGTAGAATTACAGAAAATATTTCTTCTTAATATAGAGAAACTGAAATCCCTAATGAGGCGCTTAAAAGTAAAAAGTACGCTTTTGTAGATTTTATATCATAAAACGAAAAAGTTTCTGAATTGCTAATGTAATAACTAAGCCATTGAATGTGTGCTAATATACTTGTGTAGATACACAGGAGTATCTGCAAAAATACTTTGTATGTAAAGAGCAGACACGTGTAATGACTCTGAAATGGAATTGTTTTTACTTGTCACATAAAATTTGATATACATAATCACCCGCATAGTAAATTTATAATAAATTAATATAAAATTCTGTTTATAGGCATTATTTCTGGCTCAGCGCCACTCTCTGTAAGTCCACTGCAACCACCACAGGATTTAGATTTCAAGGATAATTCATTTAACTTTGATGATGACAGCAAATTTATTATGGCAGACGATACTGGCAAGGAGCCTGCGTACGCCTACAATCAACCAGGTTTGCATTTCAATATATATAAATTTATGCGCATACGGAATCCTATTGAAATTTAATAATTAAACACAAATTTTCTTTGAACAGAAGCAACACAGAACCAAAACCAGTACACGTTCGATGCAGATGCTCTATCGCGATACGGCATGACGGAACAAGGGATGAAGATGCCTGGCAGTTATATGAATGCACTACAAAGCATCAGTTCGGCTTCATTTAAAAACTCGAATTCAATTTCTGGCAGCTCTTCAAATTCGATGTCCGCACCTATGCAAAACAAGCCGGCAGCACCAGCGAACATGAACACATTTCAAACCTTCCAAAAGGTACCAGCAACATCTTTGCTGTTATCGAACTATGATCCATTTTACAGTCCTTTGTTGTCACGTTTGGATTCGGTATTTGCGCAGCTCAAAGTGAATTCCGAAAACGAAGAATGCCGTGAAAAGCTTATATGTTTAATGTACGCACATCCGGCAAAATATGCACCCTACAGTAATTTAGTGTCAGCACAGTTGAGTCGGTAAGTGTTACTTGTTGACTGGTGTTGGTTTGTAACTAAGCTTATTAGTATGATTTAAATGCCGTCTAAAAGTAGGCAACGAATATTTGTAGTTATTCGAGCGAGTGTATGGAACGAGTGTATGAGGATTTTTACTTTGTGATATGGAAAAGTTTTGTTTGGAATTTTTAAATAAATTTTTTTATTTGCATAATTAAATCTTCTATATACAACATATTTTTTGCTCCTGGTATACCAGATTTATTACCAGATGTCTACACACATGTGTGAGATTGTCAAACATATTTTAAAGTTATTTAATACACATCAACTGTGAGGAAGTATACGTATAACATATATGGAAACGATGGAGTATGGAACCAAATGCTGCACAGGATTGATGTGAAATTGAATTTGAGTCCTTTTATTTATTTTTCACCAAAGGTGTTTTGAAGAAAAATATATTATTTGTTGATTGTGTGAAGCTTACGACGCATTTCGAACATTATTAAGGGATTTGCTGTTTACATGAAAGAAATGCTTACGTTAAAAATAATAATAAATCTGTAGTGTGAAATAATCATTTCAGCAAATAATATATACTTTTCATAACCTTTTTTCCAAAAGGTATGTCTGTGTACACTATATACACAGAATAGCTAGCACAAGTCTAAGAGACTCATTGAGTTTTATTTCTTTTTAATTAATTATCTTCTATGTAAAAGTTGTCTAAGTAGAAGTATTAGAGAGATGGATTGTTTCTTTATTGCTATTTCATGGGTTTACAATAAATAACAATAAAGAAACTAATTACAGTTTCTAATTACAGCACAGCACAGTTGCTAATTGTTAACAGATTCTAAACATTATAACTTAAACAAATTAAAAATTTTTTAATGATTCAATTTTAAAACAATAATAAAAGTTTGAAATACATTTCACAGCTTTTTCACTAGGTCCTTCACCCTTATTAGTTACGATGTAATTATTACAAACATCACTTTTGGTTATACTATTAATTTTTTATAAATACTACTCGTTAGTACACCAACTAGTATTAGTGACGTTAGTATTATCAGTAAAAACTATTAATTAACTATAAATTATTATATTAACTATAACTAAAAATGATTACAAATACGACTTTTGTTCATACTATTATTTTTTTTATAAATACTAGTCGTTAGTACATCAACTAGTATTAGAGACGTTAGTATTATCGGTAAAAACTACAAATTAACTATAAATTATTATATTAACTATAACTAAAAATTATTACAAATAGCACTTTTGTTTATACTATTAATTTTTTATAAATACTACTCGTTAGTACACCAACTAGTATTAGAGACGTTAGTATTATCAGTAAAAACTATAAATTTCTTTTTGTCAAGGGTTGAAGGTGAGCAAATGCTGACCATATAGTTATTACAGGTATCGCCCTATACCCATTATTTGTGGGATTTTTGAAACTATTTCTTACATTTGGTAATTAGCTTTTTATAGTATAAAGTGCCAAAGCTTGAAGTCGTATATTAGGATATAGAAAAAAAATTGTTCTTAAGTTACTTTTAGATAAATTTTTTTTTGATATCTTGTATCTCAAATATTTTTAATTATAAATCTATTTCTCTCATATAGTTTTCTTCGTTCCTTTCAACATAGAGACGCTTCTTGAAATTAATATACTTTGATTTAAAACACTCTCTATGGAATATATAAAAATCTTATTTATATATACATTTAGATAATAATCCATTGAAAAGTGATTAAATCCTTAATTTTAAGCTTAATTTGTTATGAAACTTGAAATTATCTACGAAACCCAATAAAATTTTAACACTTAAGTGTTTTTAATATATCCGAAAACTTAAATTGAAGTCCTTCCACATTCTTTAAGGATATTTAAAATAATTTTTCTGTAAATATTTTGTGGCTTACTTCGCTTTGTCCACAAAACGAGGACATTTAGTCCTTCTGTTTATTCTCTATCTTGAGGGTTTAAAAAATAAAAAGAAAAATAATAAAAGAAGAATAAAAGATAAATAAAAATAAAAATAAAAATGGTGTTGTAATTGCCAATTGCAGGAATTTTGGAGTGTCACTAAAATGCTTTTCAAATTATACAAGCCACGCCAATTACATTTAAATTTCATTTCTTATATGTTTTCATTTAATTTTTATAAAATTCTCATTGCGGAAATTTTTGTTTTCAGGGAACTAAATGAATTGCGAAAACCGACATCGGATAATCCAGACATTTTACGCTTCTTTAAGTACATGCGTGCGGCCAAGGATGGACAGGATGGCGTTGATTGCGAAACAACCTTTGATGGCTGCACAGAATTCAAGGATTTCGAAAATCCAGCTATGGTTTCAACATACAACGACATCAATAAACTAGTACAAGCACGTAAGCTGGCGTAGGGGAGAAGGGAGAGGTAGACGCCAGGGACCTATGGGATGTAGATAGTAGCACTAAAAATATTTTCTCTCGAGTCGAGCTGAGGATTGCAGTAAAATTTTATTTGTTTAAAAGGGGACCCACATTGAGGAGAGCACACTTTACAGTGTTGCTACACTTTAAATGATTTCAGTTTTGTGTGAAGTACAGAAGTTTAAAGTGGCAGCTGTTGTACAAATAAAAAGCTGAAAATGAAACAAAAAGTTACTAAATGAATTAAATTTAGTAATTTTAAATAAAAATCTAAATGTAGCCATAGCCGTTTTAGAAATGTCCAAAGGACATTTTTGTTTAACAAATATTGAAACAAAAGGAAAATTTTATTTATATAGTATTTTGTTATTGTTAGTATTGTATTAGTGTATTGAAAATATTTATTTTAAATTTTTGTCTTACGAATAATATTGTATAAAATTTATGGATGAAGTTCGTGCCGAATTGGTCAAGGGAGTGTTAGATGGAGTGTCCTTTTTAACATGGAGGACAATATAAACAATATCTTAAACTATTTATAAATGCATGTCTGGCAAATAATTTTAATTTTATTTTGTAGAAACTTTAATTTGTTAGGTTTATCTAGATTTAGTTGAAAACTAAAATTTATTGTAAAAAAAACAAATACATATATATATATATAGAACTATGTATATTCCTTAGTGCCTATCGTTTATTGTAGTAATGTTATAGGCATGACTTTAATTTCATTCTATGTAAATAATAATATAAATATAAAATTAATTTAAAACATACACCTTTTGTTGAAAGAGCATTTAAATTTATTATAGCAAAATTTTAATTAATTATTAAAAAACAATATATTATTTTCTAAAATAAAATTTATTTATATTTTCTGCTTAACTTATTATGCTTAATGTAAACTTATTTATTGTTCTAATGAATTTTTATTAATAGTCTTATTTACATTTATATTTATTTACATTCATTCAAGTGTTTATAATTTAATTGCTTAATTCTTAAAATTCTTTATAATGTATTTATCTGATTTTCAATTTATTTGTTTTTTCATTTTTAGTAATTTTAGGTTAATTTGTTTAAGTTTATTTATTTATTTATTTATTTAATGAATTTAGCTCTTTTGTTTATTCGTATTTATTGAAACATATTTAGTCAACTTAAACTGTGTTTGCTTAAAGCCAACAATTAAATTTACTAGAAAATTAAATAAATTATTTAAAAACAAATAAAAGATAATTAAAATTATTTTTATTTCAATAAATTATATATCTGTTTTACCGAAGATAAGTCAGTATTTATTTACACATATGGATGCTATTTGTTAGCTATTTTCAGCTTAAAAAATCTGTTGTTGATTTTTATATTAACCTAATAAAGACAGGGTTTCAATCAAAGAGGGTTAGAATAGACAAGGAATCTACAATTGTGTCTTGTGGTATATTTTTTAAAAACTTGTAAAACTGAAGTAACTTTGAGGTCGCTCTAAATTTGGTTATTTGTATATATGGAGTGTTTGGGGTCTTTCTTAATATTTTTGAGTAAAAATTTTGTAGGTTTCTGAAGTTATAAAAACATTGAGTGATCAACAATTGCAACAATTTTTTATTCAACTGCTAACACTGGACGAATTGATCTATAGGTAACATAATACTGAAGATTATGATCGCTGTGTATATACCATAGACTACGAACGTTGATAGTCTTCATAGTTTACCAATGGTCTCATTGTATACGGTGTAAGGAATCAGTATTTTATTTTTGTGCCTAATATTCCTCCTCCAACTTCGTTAAGTGGTATGTGTTAAGAACTGTACATGGATAGTTGGTTTCTAAGGAGAAACCCGATGCCGTTCTATGCAACCTGGGTGAAGTGAATTCAGGTATACCTGCAAAATTCCTATACCTGGCTTTTCTTGTAATTAAAATAAGCTTTGTCTATGTAACTCTTAACTTCTAAGATGTTGATAACGGCAGTTTTATGAGTTCACTAATTTTTGAAAAGTATAAAAGTTTAGTAAATCAGTAACTTTTTTTTGCAATATATTACATTCATCCTCTAATCAGGAGGATAATTTTCGGGTGAATTCCTTAAAGTTCTGCACCACCGTTTTTTTTTGCTTTAAAGTTGTGTGCCGTCTTTATACATGTTTAAGCATTCTTTCGTAATCACGTCGGCCCTGTCTCAGGCTCTTCCCGTAGAGTACTCACAATCAAAGTCTAAAGAATAAGTCTAAAGAATCTAAAAAATTTTTACCCAGGATACTAGTATCCAAACAAAATTCTACCGAAAAGAGAACTCTTAATTATAATAATAAAACAATATGAATTGATTATAAAATTTTCATCATATACTAGTTTTGCTTGTCAATAAGAGGAAGAAAAAATATTCCAACCAATGAGATCGATTGTAACATTTTTGCGACTGATCTGATCAGATTGATGATATTGGTAAGTTTAAGAATATTCTTTTGTAATAGTTTCTAGGTCTAATTTGGTTCAATGCAAAGATAGATGGTTGCATATAATAACTTATTGACAATCACGGAATGGGAGCACAATGGATAGGTGGAAATTACCTTTTTACATTTTTCTCTGATATATTACATAATGATTAAGGGATAGTAAAGACTAGTTAAGACTAGTTAGTGATTTATTTTATTTATTACTTATTGGAACCGAAAATTTTCTCAGAATTTTAATAATCAAAACATATCAGCTGTTTCTGTTATTTTCGGTTTTGGTGTCGCGGAACTAATGTGGAAAGAGCTAATATATGATGACTGGAGAGACTCAAATTGGGTTATTTAATTTTTTGTTAAATTTATTTTTATAAGATTATTTTATAATTTCTTTGCAAAAAATAAACGCTAAATTGATGAGTTCAAAGTAATAAAGATATAAAATTTAAAAAGAAGTTATTAAGAAATTATTTGAAATTTTTTAAACAAAATAAATTTTGTTGACTATTTTCATCGGACTTCATTTTTTTTTAACATTTTTATAAACAATATTTTTCTCTACCAGTTATCGTACCAATACAAGGCACCACATCTATATAATTCAATTAAACATTTTTCATAACTCCTTAACCTGATTAGAGTTTGAGTTTAATGTCAACTTTATTTCGGTTATTTTTTGAAAATTATGTGGGTGAATATCATTGAAAAATTCATTACCACTGACACTTTTATAAGATTCAAAATTGAAATGAATGTCATCAATAATTTGTAAGATAATTGCTCAAATGACAAGTCAAGCCGTTCACTGTCAATCACTTCCAACCTATAGAGTTCAGTTAAAAAACTTTTAATTATATTTGTTTGAAAATAAATAAATGAGAAATAAAAAAATATAAGAAAATGTTTGTCTGTTAATTATAATTAATTAGCTTAGATAAACATAAATGAAATTATATCTACAACAGGAGTTACTTTCGAAATTACTAAATAATCTAATCTTTAACAGTCAATCAAAAATCAATAACCAGAGAGTGACCTTCCCCATAACCAAATCACCGGTTGAAAGTAGCAAAATTTATTTCATATGAAATTCAATTAAATTTTACTATTTTAACCAAATTATTTGCTGCAAATGAAGTTGAATTTAATATCAATTTATTATAATATAATTTAGTTATTTTATATCATTTTAATATGATTCATTTTATTCTAAGTTAATTTACTAAAATAAAATTTTATGTTTCATGAGAGATAAACTACTGAAAATTTATATATATTAGTTATTTAATTAATTATTTTTAGAGAAATTTTAATATCTATTTTTCTTTTATAATCTTTATAAAAATTTCCTTCTACGTGCTCAATAAATTTCCTATATTTCTCGAATCTATTGTGGTTATTAGACCTGCTCTAATGGGTTAAAAAATGTTTGTAGATTATATTTAAGTAAGAATGATGAAAATAAACTTGAAAGAACAATTAACGCTTTTAAGAAACCCTCCAAGTCCCTACAAAGAATTATGAGAATCTGGTAGTTTCAAAGAATTATTCAATACTGATTAATAGGTTCGAGTAAATTAAACTGGAGCAATAAAAAAAATTAGGAAATTTAAATCTGGTTGGGTAGAGTACACTCTCAGAAAAACTCAAATCAATATAGCTCGACAAGCATTGAGGTGAAACCCACCATCTTCTAGCTATTTAGAGCGCCATGTATGCTCTACATGACATCGAGAAGAATTTTGTTGTTGTAAGTTAGTACTATACGAAACCTCTCTATTAAATACCATAGTTTCTATTAAGTAAAATAGTCACCACTGTTAAAATCAAATTTAAAACGAATAATTTAATAAAATAAAAATAAGCCATGGATAAATTTTTTAATATGATGTTAAAGTAAATTTAAATTTTATTAATTAATAAAACAAAACAGAATATCCATTATTTAATAAAACAGTACAAAACAATTAATCAATGAAAACAAAATATACTTTAAAAAAATTTTTTAATTTTTACAGTACTTTAAATATACAAATAAGTTATTAGGACCTTAGGAACTGATCCACTTTTCGAGATATAATTTAATATTTTTTAAGAATGATGGGGTTAAGCCAATTTCTGCAGAAAACTTACACATCACTCTCTATCACTCTCTTATCATTATCTCTCAGTGAAGCATAGCGCCTCCGGCTGACACATATAGATCACAATTATCCGAGATATTGCGCTCCATTGAAACGCAGTGTTATTTTTACACTCGTAAACCGTAGTCTTATTTTGATACTTCCTATTTTACTGGTTTAAAAATCTTTTAACTAAATCAAAAATATCCAATATCATTATTTTTGAAATTAGTTCTATCATATGTGCTATATTGTGTTGAGTCAGGTTTGTAATCGGAATTTCTGGGACCAACTTCGTACTATATTTAGCACTCCCATCTAACTAGTGTTTTAGACGCCTTAATTTTATTTTCTATTTACGTCTTAGTTTTATTTATATTTTTTTTATATTATTTTTTACATTATTTTTTTTTTATATAATAATTTTTTTATATTATTTGTTTTTTATATTATTTTTTAAATTATATATTTATATTATTTTATTCATATTATTTTTTCTATAATTTAACACTTGACTACACCACATTTTATTTTTTATTCGTGGTTTTTTTTTGTATTTTAATTTCTATATTTTTTATGAATATTTTATATGTTTTCTATGGATTTTGATTTTAATAAAATATTATTCTTTTCACCACTGTTTAATATATTTTGTGTAAATTTGTTTATTTCCGCAGA